CCCTCCACCCCTGCGCACTTCCCCGAAGAACCAGCTGGTTTCAAGCGTCCCATAAGCGAGCGCAACCCGGTTGTCTCCTTCGGCACCTCACTGGCATCGCTCCAAGCACTTTGATTGTCTTCCTCAGCCTCCTCCTTGGCAAACCTGCCATCCACCCGAAGAACCAGCCGGTTTCAAGCGTCCCATAAGCGAGCACAACCTCGTTGTCTCCTTCGGCACCTCACTTGCATCGCTCCAAGCACTCTGAGTGTCTTCCTCAGCCTCCTCCTCATCCTGATATTCGTACTCCTCCTGCTCCGGCTCCTCGTCCGTCTGATAGGACTCCTCATCGTCCACACAACCCGCGACGCGGCCTTTGCCTCGAGCACTTCCTTTTCCTCGTCCTTTCTTGGACTTGCCCTTCCCGGAAGGACCCTTTCCTCGTCCCTTAGGACTACCTCCCCGAGGTACAGCCTTTGCAGGCTCCTTGCCTTCACCGCCTCTGCCCCCCCCGGACACTCCCTCGCGAAATGCCCCGGCTTTCCACATTGAAAGCAAGTCCCGCTGCTGTTCACAGCCTTCAAACTTCCAGGACCACCACCACCTCCACCGGGCATGCGTAGCTCCTGAAAACCTAAAACTGCTTTGTCGTAATACGTCAGAGCCGCCAACTTGTACCCAACAAATGTCTCCTCGCGAGCATGTAGTTGCGTGTACTTCCACAACGACGCGCCAGCAGCTCACCAACGGCCGGCCAGCAGTTTATGTGGTTACGCGGAAATTCAGGCTTATCACTAAAAGGCCAGCGGTTTCTGCGTTCTGGGACTGCCCAGGCGCTCGGAAATTTTGGGCCGTCGCTAAACGGCCTTCGACCCACGCACGTCCGCCGGCCACAAAAAAGCCCGCCTCCGAAGAGCGGGGGAAAGCCGTAGGCCGTTTAGCGACGGCCGAAAAACATTTTAAAGTTTTAAAGGTGTAGCCGACGCGGAGGGACTGCCCGGCGCTCGGAAATTTCTGGCCGTCGCTAAACGGCCTGCGACCCACGCACTTCCGCCGGCCACCAACAAGCCCGTCTCTGAAGAGCGACTCGAAAAGGCTACAAGTCGTGGGCCGTTTAGCGACGGTCGAAAATTTCGGCCGCCCGGGTTCTCGGAAACAGCGAAAGCCGCAGGCTGTTTAGCGACGAGCAAAAATTTCCGGCGGGTCGGGGCCTCGAAAACAAGGAGAAGCTTTGGGCCGTTTAGCGACGACTGCAAAAATCCCTTAAGGATATGGCCAACCTGGCCGGCTGCCAAGAAGGCTTGAAAAACTTGGCCGTTTAGCTACGGTCGGAAAATTCCGGCTGCTTGGGCGGCTTGAGCAGGAAGGAAGCCCTAAGCCGTTTAGCGCTGGCCGGAAATTTCCGGCTGCCCGAGTAAAAAACAATTGAACAAGTCTTAGGCCGTTTAGCGACGGCTGAGAATTTCCGGCGGCGTGTCTTGCGGCCCTTACTTGAGGCCCCAGCCGGGTTGGCAAGAAGCTATGCCAGGGGGCCTCGCTGGGCCCCAATCGCCTTACACGCTTCCCAAGCCAGATGTGGCCAATCCGATATCGCGCTACACAAGCAGTTTATCAGCGGCTGGACACCTGTTTTTTGCTTTCATTAAAAGCTCTTGCTAGGCGCCCTGCAGAGACCCGCATAAGGAAGCTTCAAAGCCGAGAAAAGGAAATTCGGAGCGCGTCGCTAAACGGCCCAGCGCTGTCATTGTTTTTGAAAGCCACCAGCGCAAGGAAATTTTGCTTCGTCGCTAAACGGCCTGCGACTGGCACGCCCTCCACGCCCATCAAAAAGGCTTCTAAGGAAAGGCAGCTCGAAGAGAGCGAAAGCCGCAGGCCGTTTAGCGACGATCAAAAATTTACGGCGACTCGGGGCTTCGGAAACAACAAGAAGTCTTGGGCCGTTTAGCGACGGCTGCAAAACTCCCTTAAGGGTATGGCCGACATGGTCAGTGTGGCAAAGCGAAGTCAGACAACACGGGAGGAAAGGCCGAGAGCGCAACATGAACAGGAAGGCTAGTCAGGAAAGAACAAATAACACATTGATTTGCGTGTTGATCTGGCTTGCAAAGCGTCGTCTATCTTGGCCGAGATTGAAGTGATTTGTTCCAAACCCCGGCGATCGCAGCGCTCGAGCCGTTGCTAAGAAAGCGACTCCCCAGTTTGAAAAACACTCGCGCCCCTGCCAAGCAGACATGGCCCCTTGCGCGTGCCTCGGCTTTGTCTCGAACGCGGAGGAGGCGGCGGACCCGTGTGTCTTCAACGGCAATGGGACGGGGCGCCCGGCGCGCGCGCTGACGCACGGACGCTGCGTCTGGTGTTGCTCGGAGGAGATGGCTCGGCGCTCGGCGAGCCCGAAGCTTGAGAAGTTTCTCATCTACACGCTCGTCAATTTCAAGAGCGCGAACGAGGAAGTCTTCAAGAAGGCGACGGGGCGGTTGCCGGAGGACCGTCGGGCGGACATTTTAGCGGAGGTCGCCGCGCGGCTGGAGCCCGAAGAAGAAGAGGACGTGGAAATGGAGCCGGCGGAGAAGGGGGCCGACGGCGAGAGCGAGGAAAACGACGCGGAGGCGCCAGACTTTGCGGGGCTCGGAATCCTCCCCGACGAACCGAGCGACGCGGGCGAGGGCGAGGAGGCCAGGCTGAATATCGACGCGGTCGACGGCGGCGAGGTGGACTTCGGCGACGCGCTGGACGAGGTCGAGTCGCCGTTCGAGTCTCTGAAGCCGGAGCGAGTGTAGGCGGCGCCGAGCGCGGCAGCCGCGGCCGAACGAGGAGTGCCCCGGGCGAGACAGGGCAGCTTGCTCTTGGTCTACTTCGCAGCTCGAGCAGCCGGCGCGAACACAGCCAGCGCGCGGGCTGACCCATTGCGTCTTCTGCGGCGACGCGCAGCTGGACAAGATCCAGAACGGCTTCCAGCTGACCAAGACCCTCAAGGCGCTGCGCGAGCTTGACGACGCGAAGTACGAGGCGGCGCTGGAGAACCTGAAGAGCCGGAGGGGCGAGGCCTTTGCAGCGGACTTTGGGAGCCGCGTGGACTTGACCATCTATCGCGCTGTGGAGCGGCAGCAAGCGCCGCGCAAGAGTGTCCCGGAGCGCTGGAGCGACCTCCTACAACGCCGCGTGCGGGTTCAGGGGCCGCTAGACGGCGACGCCTTGGCAACCTACGAGAGAGCAGTTCGACGGGATCGCATGATGATCCGGCGGAAGGTTTTCGCTCGCGACTGCGCGACGAAGCGCTACAGCGAGGCGAACGAGGAGGCAGAGCTTGCGCGGATGCCCCTGCCGCCCGCGTACGTTGCGCCCAACGACAGCGGCTTGCCGGGGGCAACCTTGAGCGCGCGGGCGAGGATGGCGGAAGCCTGGTGTAAGCACGGCTCGTGGCAGATCTGCGAGGGCTGCGGCAGCGTCCGCGCCCGCTCCAGCCCGTGACCTGCGGAGCGTCAGGCAGCCAACAATCAAGAAGTGCCTCCTTTGCCGGCGTGGCATTTACGTCCCACAGCCGGACGACATCCCGGAGCGCTTGCCGGACAAGGTGCTGGAGGCGCTGCGGCCACTGGAGGTGGACAGCGGACGCTACGAGCGGGCGGAGCATGGCTACCGGGTCCACGCGACGAGGATCCGGTTTGCCTGGGCAGCTGAGAGCGTCGGCGCTAAGATTCGGGCCTTGGAGACCCACGACCTGCGGAGCAAGGCGCGCAAGGCCTTCCGGTTCTTGGCGGACGGACGAGAGCGCCTACGGCGAGTTCATCGACGAACACGAGGAGTTTTTGAAGAAGCACTGCGAACCGTCGGAGCAGGTCCGGAAACGGCCACTCAGGTTCATAGAGAAGCAAGGCCTCGAAAACGCCGTCTGGCCGCATCTCTACTGGCACAAGAACCTGTGCGAGACGGTCGTCCGTGCCACCGACGAGCGGAGGCGTGTGCGCGCGGGCCTGTCGGATGAGGAGGCGTCGGAAGTGGGCAGCGAGGTGGAGGACGGGCCCGCGCTGACCAAAGGGCGCCGCAGCGTCCGGCGCAGCTGGATGATAAAAGTCTTCAGCCCGGTCGTCGGCTATTCGGAGGACTTCCAGCTCCTCCACTTCGTCTACGACTTGGTGTTGTGGACGAATTTGGGAGGCTGCAAGAACGCGACGCGTGGTATGCCCCTCCGCCTGGCCGTCAAGGGCTCGCCCATCTTTCCCGAGTACTGGCGGGTACGACACCAAGCCCTCATCGACATGCAGCGGCAGGCGGGGTTGTTCCGAACCTACGAGCGGTCCTTCCCTTACCACCAATGGGTCCTCCACGAGATGGCGCTGGCCGGGCGCAGCCGCCTGAACCTTGCGGGCCCAGAGACACTCCACATGGCCCACGTCCTCAAGGAAATGGACCGTGGCTTTTTCGCGGGCAAGAACCACAAAGGTTGGCGGGACCACTTGTTTGGGCGGAAAACGAGGAGGGCAATTGCGAGGAGCGCCCGAACACAGTCGTCAACTTCTGTTCTCGATTGGAGTTTCAGGACGGCAAACGCAAGCCGAAAGGCCAGCAATACCACGGTCGAGGAACTGTCCACTCGCACTCGCTGGACTTCCTCGAGAACAAGGCAACCATCAAGTTGGAAAGGAAGATTGCAGCTGTCGAGCCAACGGAGGAGGAGCCGCTGCTTCGAGGCCTCGTTCTCGACTCGCAGCGAGACCGCTCCCGCAGTCAGGTCGCGGTCTGCGAGGAGCCGTCGATCTGGGACGACGAGGCTGGGCGAGTCCGCCTGCAGCACAAGGAGGGCGACTTCCAGAAGCACATCCGGGCATACTTTCGGGAGAGCATGGAGGTCACGAAATGCCACGAGGATGTTCAGATGGCAGACGGCAGACACAATTTGCTGCGCTACGTGGCCACCTATGCCCCGAAGTTCAGCGGGTCGTTTGCGAAGGATTGGCTGAATGACGACGCGTCAGACTACAGCGTTGCCCGGCGGGTCGCTTTCGACTACCATCCACTAGAGCCCGAGATGTGGCTGACGCTGGCTGGGCAGCTCTTCCCGCAGATCAGCTACGGGGGGACGCTGAAGCCGATCGTCGCGCCTACCCCGACATGGACGAGAAGCCGAGCTACGTCGAGCGCTACGAAGACAGCCACTGGCACGGCGAAGCCACGAGCCTGCTGGATTTTCTTTGCAAGAGCAACGACGAGGGCGACATCATCCAGTACCTGAAGAAGGCTTACGCCAAGCAGGCAGAGTCGGAGAGTTCGTTGGAGGAGTTCGCAAGGGTCTACAAACCTCAAGGTGAGAAACTCATCGCAACTGCCACAGTCAGCCGGCTTCGGGACCTTTACTACGGCCAGTGGATGGCCCTCCACGTCCCCTTCCGGAGCCTCGACAAGCTGCTGGCAGATGTTGTTGCCCGCGTTCCGGAGAAAAAGAAATTTTGTGGCATTCGGGGGTTGGTTTCGAATCGGGGGTTGGCTGGCCGTTCTGACAAGCATGCTGTGAGATTGCGTTGAGCAACGCCGTGCCCCCCAACCCCAGGTGCGCACACCGCGCGCTTCGCGTAAAGGCTGTCAGCGCCGCGTAAAGCTTGACTCTTAGTATGGAGAGCGAACCGCTCTCCGTGGGCAGAGACGCAAGACAGGGCTAGGCCTGGGGCTTGATTGTGAGCAAGTTGCGCCATCCATAAAACACAAAATCTGGTGGGCCTTCTACTGGGCTGCTGCTGCTGCTGATGCGAGAATATCGCACGATCCATGTTGCCGGCAGCAAGTTTACTGGCGCCAGCAAGGAAAGGGCAACAGGAGACTTTGGATAAACCGCAGACACATCACGAGCGTTTTGGTGCTTTGCCCGTTTGCTTGCTTGTTTGCAGCTGTCGCCTGTGTTTGCTTGCTTGTTTGTGCCTGCGGTCTGTCTGGTTCTTCAGCTTGTGTGTAGAGACAACAGCCATGAAAAAGCTCTGCCAGAATCTTTGTGATTGAAACAGTCAAGTGGCTGGCAACGACGTCGGGTTATAGCCGGTGCCTCTAGGTATAGCTTCAGATTAGACTCGGGCTGCGCGCATCTTCAAATTACTTAGCCTCCTTGCGCGCAAGCAGTTCTTCCATGAAACGGCGGATTCTCAGTCACGCCGCCGCCGCCTGTTTTTTTTCATTGTTGTCATGGTTGCGTGAGATGCTGCGAATATGGTACTATTGCTGTCAATGCTGTCGCTAGCCGTTGTTGCTGCTCCTGTGTTGCTGTTGTTGGGTGGCGGCGGTGGTGGTAATGGTAGTGGTGATGGCGGCGGCGGCGGGCGCGACTGCGGTCGAAGATTAAAAGTCGCTGATGTTGCTGCTGTTGGCCGCGGCTGATTCTGTTTTGGTTGTTGTTGCTGTTTCTGTCGCTGGCGTTGGGATGCTGTTGCTGATGTCGCTGCTGCTGTTCTTCTTCGTGCCCTTGCTTTTGTTGACACAGTTGCAGTTATCGTTGCTGTTGGCGCTGCCAGTGTTGTTGTCGTTGCCACTGCTGGCCAGCTGCTATCGGCGTTGTTGTTGCTGCTGCTTGTTTTTTGTTGCTAACGGCTTCGCAGGCAGCCGCGGCAGCAACTGCTAGCCATCGGTTTCGCGGTTGCTGCGGTGGTTGCAGTTCGGGTTTGTCGCTGTTGGCGTTGTCGTTGTTGCTGCGCGGCTGTTGGTTTTGCTGGCAGCGCCGCCGCTGGTGTTGTAGGGCTGTTGCTGCGGTTGCTGCTTCTTGCTACTGTTACCTTTGCGGTTGGTGTAGCTCTTGCTTTTGTTGCTGCTGCTAATGATGCTTTGCTGGTGCTGCCGTTCTTGTCGTTGTTGCTGTTTCTATTGTCGTCTTTATTGTCACGACGGCTGCTGCTGCTGCTGTTGTTGCTACTGCTGTTGCTGCTGTTCCTGATGTCGTCGTCGATGACACTGATATTGGTATTGATGTTGGTGTTGGTGCCGTTGCCGCTGTTTCTGTTGCTTTTTCTGTTGCTGTTGCTGTTGCTGCTGCTGCTGCTGTTGCTGCTGCTGCTGCTGCTGCTGTTGCGGCGCTTGTTGCTGATTTGGTTTGTGGTTCTGGCGCTTCCTCCGGTTGTCCTTGCTGCAACTTAGTAATTCTGCCTGTTGTTGCTGCTGCTACTCACAGGGCAACAGACTGCACCAGCCTGGCGTTGAAGACAATATACGCCTGTCAAACATCGCGCGCGCCTAGGCAAAACAGGGGCCTTGCCCTGAGTTTGTGCTACAGTTGACAGGCATCATAATTTCTTAAAGCACCGTGTTTACCGCAACGTGATCTTCGCAAATAATTGCTGGCTGGCTGGGGCCGTCAGCGCTGGAAACTATCGGCGAATCACGGTTGTGTGGGCCCTGAGCGCTGGTGGGCGAAATTGGCAATAAACCCCCCTGTGCCCAACATTGTTCATTTGATTGAATCTCAGATTTTTCAATCGGCTGCCAACAATCGATTTTCAAAGCACCGATGTGAAAACCAAACTTTCGACAATCTATATTGTTGAGCAGTAGGCCCTTCAAATCACGCAAGCACCGTTGGCCAGGGGTTATAGGGCAAACATGTGTAAAAACTGCACTGGGCAACCCGGAAAACCCTTCAGCAAATAGTACTGGGCATCAAATTGCAGGTCACCAGCTGCCAACCTGGAGCTGGCAGCTGGCAGCTGCCAGTCTGGAACCGGAAACTGCCAGCTCCAGACTGTCAGTCCGGAGCTGGCAGCTGCCATTCCGCGGCAGCTGCCAGTGCAGAGCTGTCAGATGCCGGTCTGGAGTTGGCAGCTGGCAGCTGACAGTCTGCAGCTGGCAGTCTGGCAGCTGGCAGCCTGCAGCTGACAGTCTGCAGCTGGCAGTCTGGCAGCTGGCAGCCTGCAGCTGGCAGTCTGCAGCTGGCAGTCTGCAGCGGGCAGTCTGCAGCTGGCAGTCTGCAGCTGGCAGTCTGCAGCTGGCAGCCTGCAGCTGTCAGCTTGCAGCTGGCAGCCTGCAGCAAGTTTTGGTCACAAAACCCCTCAAAATCTCAACCCCCGTTTTGTGACCGTTCCGACCTCGGAACGGTCACAAAACAGGAGCCTGGGACAAAAAACGCTCTTTCTGGCTTGGGGGGTCGGGGGGTCCCCCGGGACCCCGCCGAGATTTTGTGACCATTCCGAGGTCGGAACGGTCACCAAACGGGGGTCGGGATTTTGAGGGGTTTT